ACTTACCCTTTAATGCCCCCCCCCCCACTCACATCAGTCTCTGTACAGAGGAGCTTACACTCTAATGTCCCCCCACAGTCGCATCAGTCTGTGAGGGGGGGCATTAGAGTGTAAGCTTCTCTGTACAGAGACTGATGTGACTGGCTCAGTGTTCTCTGTACAGCACTGCGGTATATGTTAGAGCTATATATAAATGTATAATAACGGTGCGGGGGGGGGACCCAGCCTTAAGCCGTGTAGGGGGCCCCGAAATTTCTGATGGCTGCCCTGATTATAGGTCAGCCAGCAACTCTGCCCAGTGGGGGGGGGGTAGAACCCTGCACACCGAGATGTTGCTTGGCCTTAAAAGCCTGACAGGCCTTAACACAGGGATCTCAAGTCTCCCTGATGTTCAGGGAGTCTCCCTCCATTAGATAGCGGCTCCCTGACGTCCGCGAGAGAGAGGCATTTTCTCCCTGAATGGGTTTACTCCGAGTAAACCTTTCCGGTAAGATATCAGTGGGTAAAGTTTCAGAGTGAGGCTTGCCTCCTGGAGGAAGGTCATGTGATCTCTAGAGTAGCCTCAGAAGGAGGCTTGGCTCTCGGAAGGAAGAAGCTACTTGTTGCACAGAGGGCGGACATAGACTACTATTAAGAGCAGGTATGGGCACTGCTGCAGGGTTGAGAGACTGGTGTTAACCCTTTGTGGATAATATAGAATCAATTATATGTCCTGGTTGTCTAGTTCTAGAGAACATTTATTTCATTTGCTGCCCATAGCAACTAGTCAACTGTGTATCAGGGACTTTACTCCTCAGCGTTTTAAAAAAAAAAAAGGTTTCAGGCTTTCGAATAAATTGTGACCTTTACACTGTATGCATGCATGCAATTCTTATCATTATTATTTTTTTTATATTCCGACGGCCGCTGTTAAAAAACCCCCCAAAAACACAGGAAGGGCAACTCCCTGAAATAAGGTTTTGCAGGTTGGGATGTCTGTTAACAGGAGTACAGAGTTCTAGCTGTAACCCATCTTAAAGTGAACTATAAAAATGTCTGATTAGAGTAGACACCACAAGCCATACCTGCCTGCTCAGAGATAAAGTGTGAATGGCCATAAGCTCTATGTGTTACAGTAAAAAGTGGTCAAGTAGACAGTTTTCAGGGGTTTTGCTGCCACTTGTATATGTAGGATACATACGTTGAAATGACAGTGTAGCCAAAGCTGGAATCTTTCATAAAGGAAAACCGGTCATTGGTGGGCAGATTCTTCACGTTGTCATCTGCAACATCAATGCAGTGAGGGGCACCTTCTGCATAGACCCTCCACCTATATATAGACAGGTAAAATATCAGTACAAGCTCATTTACATACAACTAAATATTGCTTTTGTTCAACTATTTAGGGTTGGGTTGAATGAAAGCATTACCGTTGTAAAGCAGACCTTCACCCTGAAAAGATTTTTATTGCCCTGCAACCCTAACCCCACTCCACTACTTAAAGATGACTTTTAAAACAGATAAATCCCAGGAGAGTGCAAGAGTAGCAGGGGCTGGCAGGTTGTGTGTCATTAGGGGCTGGTGGTTTGATTTGGGAAGATACAGCTAGCTCCTGATGACTAAGTGGCACCCAGGTGGTGGCATGGGACTCTGCAGATACCAGCAAGACCACTGGTTTCACTGGGCAGGCAAGTAATTTGATGTCAAGACAAACACCCTGCAAGCGGTATAATGAATACAGGGGCTGTATTCCCCATTATACAATTACGTTTATATGAAGTACCTGAATTTGATATCCTCATCTCCTGCAACTGCTGTACAGCACAGCTCACACTGGGAAAGTAAAAAGCAGCACACAAGTCCAGTCAGTTGAATGATGAGCTCAGTATGCTGTTTTTGCTGTCCAGTCACAGGCTGGAAGAGGGACAAGGAATGCCTATGACTTTAATATATACAGTAATGCTCATCTCACTGGCAGGCTTTCACCATGCCAAGTGACTGGTCAACCAGAGCCTTTTGTCTTCCCTGCTCCAGGTGGCTGTTGCATTCTGTTATCACTTTCAATGCAGTCCTGCATTGTACATGAGTATGGCAAGGGCACACCCACAGCCTGGAGTGTAATCTGTTGCAGGTAACAGGAATAAATGTATATGGCTTATTCCTCTACCCCCTAGACAAGAACATTTACCCCTAGCAGTGCAGGGTATCCCAATGCAAGCTTTTTGTGCCCAGCATGTATTGCATTAATGCACATTAAGGTGCACTGCATTTAGGCAGCCCATTATAAAGTACCTTAAGAAGGACACAGGGTTTAGTTAGATTTTTGTACTGCATTATGTCCACTAGATGGAGCCGAGTATAGGAAATGCCACACAAAGTGGTAATATAAGAGTCAAATGTAAAATTGCTCCCCAAACATTTTAAAATACACCCCTTGGTGTTGCATTGTGCTGCAGTGTGGGTTCTGTGCACACTTAGCATTTAAAACTTACAATTAATTGGTTATATTGTAGTCATAATTATGCAGATATGAAAAATCACAGAAAAAACCCCCACAAAATATTTTACGCTGAACAGGTAATTTACATGCTAATCAAAAATGTTACCCTATAGGTGACAGCCACCCCCTGCCATCATACAGGGACAGACTTCACATGTTATCACTCACTTGTGAGTTTCCCTGTTCTGCTTCAATTCTACTTTTCTTTGTTGCTTGAGAGAGGCGGGAGTATTCTCATTTAGAACACCACCTGAAACAGAAGGCATTACAGAAAACAATCAAGGGTACAAGAAAAAAAGGACAGGGCCCCAAAGCACTATTTAATACATGGGCACACTCCCCAAACACGAAAAAAACCCCAGGAAGATGCGCTATGAGGACCTGCGGGGTCATAAGCAGGTCTGCATTTTTCTGCATCACACTTCACACCTGCATGGTAATGTGAATGGGGTGGGCGCGCAATAGAAAACACTTGTTGCCATATGCCCTCATTGTGACTGGTGTGGATCATATGCAGGAAAAAAATGCCAGTCAATGCACGTAGTGTGTACAAGCCCTCAAAAGCAGTGGTGAAGCATGTAAAAGGTGGCCTATTTTTATAAGCACACTACTGTAATACCAGGTGGTGGTGAAAAATAAAAAAAAGTGTATGCACTACCTTCCACCGCAATGCACAGTATTGTGGTACCATGTGGTGGAATGCAATGTGGCCTGTACTTGCATTGGAATATCATTCAACTGAACCTGCCAGATGTAGTAAATGATAGAAGGTTCTAAGCTTATGTATTGATGGAAATTCTTTTGGCTGATGTTATTTAACACACCTATGCCAACTATGTTTTTGTGTAAGTTTGACCAGTTGACCATCCTGTTTTCAGAGTGTTGATTGTACACAAACACCTGTAGGGCATTTTGTCAAAACCTGGTTAACATCAAAGGGGTAATTAGACCAGCCAATCAGAAATCCTTTCAGTGTTAGTGAATGGCACTAAACTGTATACAAATTCAGATTGGCTGGTCTAGTTACCCACCTAATTAATTTTGATCATAATTTAATGAACCAGTTTGTGCGTTGCAGGATAATCATACAATTAACACACAGCAGTGTTAACAGGCACTGAATGATGCTTCATTGGTGCGTTAACAAATGAAGCCCCCAGGTTCAGTAAAGTTATATACATTTTGCGGTCTAAAACTTCCACCCCCAGGTTCCCTACTACGATATGCACAAAACACCGGCAAATGAAGTGTCAATACGTCTGGTAGTCCCTCTGCTCTACTCCCAACACCTACCAACTCTGCATCAGAACTAGAACTATCAAGGCAAATGTTGGCACAGATACTCCTGCACTCCACCTCCCTCCCACCCCTTGCCCTGGGCCCCATAATGGTCACTAGTTTCACAACTGATACAACTACAGTTGCAACCAGTTTACACCCACAAGACTACCCTCGTTTCTGCTACATGAAAGCTACCAATTCTTCACAGGAGAGTCTACTTTAGTGCCTGCCTCATTACAGTTCCTCTTTCCAACACTATGGCACACTTCATACTTAACATTAAGGGATAATCCTAGATGCAGCTTTTAGACCTCCGACAGTCCAGTGTTTTGCTTTACAAACCTTTTATTTTGTCGAAATCTGGATACGTTTCGGTAGTTTTAAAATAATTTGTCCACCACAAGTCATTAGCTACAGTGGATGAAAACTGGAATTCAACCCAGGTGCTACAATTTGCTTGGTGCGTTCAGCTACAGTTTGCCTCTTTCCTTGTGAGGTCTGGTGGGTTTATCAATATCCCTTTAGATACCCAACAGAAGTCAAGTCTGACAACCCAGATTGGGCCCCAGCAGTTGCCACAAATAATCACATTTACCAGTTCTTGGCCCACTACTAGCCGTCACTCATTCTCACTGCCCTTTTAGTTAGTTATACTACACAGATAACCAGCAAGGACAGATGGGAGAAAGCTAGATGTGGTATTCAGTCCTAAACTGCTGTATGTACAGCTAGACATTAGGAAGGGTTCAGGTCAAAAACAAAAAAGGTGGTTAAGGGCCTGTCCACACCATAGCATTGTGGCAACTACACAGGAGCCATACGTTTAGCACATGTTATTGCACCCAAAACATACTTAGCAGTGGGTATGCGCTGCAGCACAATTCCTTAACTTTTAGTATGACAAGTGTAACAAGCAATACTGATGACCACCAATTAATATCAAATTGTCCTACAGCGAGACAAGAATGTACTGCAAGATTCCAGCTCGACTCATGTCTCCTTCTGCTGTATTAACAAACCTGCCCTTAACCACTGTCATCTACAGTGCCAAATCTGTTTCAGAATTGGCAATCTTGGCTACCCAGAGTACAGGGTTGCAAATGTTGCAAGTCAGGCTGCCTCAAAGTATATGCAATATCTGCATAAGTTGTTTTTTTAAAATTTGCTTCATAAGTGTCTCTCTATTCTAGAGATATCCAGTCTAACAAGTTCCCTTGCAACCCAGACGCTAGGCATTATCTGCCAGTAATTTTGTGAGGATGTAGCAATTGTGCCTGCACTTCTGTCGGAAGACCATCAAATTGAAGCCTTCAAACCAGTTAAGAACAAGAAGCACAATAATTTTAGAAGTTACATTGGTACCGTGAAGTCTTAAGAACAGTCTCAAAAATCTAATAAGTATCCTACAGTAGAGTGATATCCACTCAGGGGGAAATAAACTGATTTTACACAACTTGCCAAAGAAAAAAGTCACATCTTACCTTTCCCCTCTGGAATCTCCACAGGCCTAAAGTTTGATATCCACCGATAGAATGGAAACTGATAGATCTGTCCACTGGGGCAGGTGACATTAACATACTGGCAGAACCATTCATCCACACGGAAATTTAAGTATGGTTCCATGGAAAGTCGAACAAGCAGGAGCTCTCCAAGATCTTCCTGGACATTTATTTCAATCACTGCCACCTGCAAGTGGAGAGGAATTAGATCTGCACACACCTACAAATCATAGAACGGCCACATGTCTGCAAGTGTTGGCCTGGGAATTGCAATACCTACATGGAGATTTTGTTGACAACCCCATTGGTAATGTGCTTAAATTCTGTCATCAATGGTGACCAGAACAGAGTTAGCCTAAAATGTAAGTAGCAGTAATGTGAAATGGTGGCTCAGCAGGTCTCTGCCTGCTCAAGAACCATAGCCAGGTCACAGTCTGCTGACAAGACAGCAAGTAAAAGGAATCTCCCAATTTGGAAAAACTAGAGTCTAACCCCTTTTCTACACTATCCAAAACTAAAGAGGTTTGCGTGGAGTTGAGATGAAGTGTTTTAGGCTGATGACCAGCTGAGAAAGTTAGTCATTGGTGATTCAAGCCATAAGCAGTTGCAGCTAGAAGACAGCAGCTGCAAGTAGGCTTGGCAGGTGTTCAGTATTTGCTGTGTAATGTCTGCAAAGCTGCCCTAGCTGCCCATAGACCTAAAGTGATATTCATCCAGACAACCCTCTAAATAGGTTGGTAGAGTTGCCTACCCCCTCTTCCACTCATGTTTCAATTTGGGAACTGCATCATGCAGTTGTGGTGCCTGTAAGGGGCAGATTCTACACACTTGTCCAACTGAAAGTCATTCTGACCAGAGTGGTGCACCAAGGTGAAGATGTGTAACAGTTTTATTTAATGTGCCCCTTATTCATTTAACTTTCTTGACCAATTCCTGCACAAGCCAATACAGCTACTAAGTGCACCCAAGCAATATCTATGCCCACCATTCTGACCTTCTTGGAGAGTAAAGTTCAGCAAGGCAAATTTAGCCATGACATATTTAGCTCCTGTTAGTTAAATGAGTTGGTTTCTGTGAATTACTGCCTTCTGGTGCCACAAATGCAAATTTTCTTAAGAGCCATGACATAAGCAGTTTTATCTAGTCCACACTTGCTTCGTTAGCACATTACTAGATTCTTCAAAAAAAGATTACATGCAGCATTCAGTCCCCAAATCATCTAGTCTCACTATAGGCACACCTACTGATCACTTTACCCCATCATTATTGCCCAGTTATATATTCACTTGATCACACTTTGTCACCCATTCAAAGAAACTCACAGATCCAGGCAAGAAATGGCTCCAGTGACGGGGTAGTTGCAGTTTAGCACTGTCTCCATTTACCCCCACAAGCACAACAGAGATATTATTAATGGTGCCAGCAACCAGGTCTTCGCCAGTGGCTATTGTCAGGTTGTAGAGCCCCATGGTTTGAGGAGATGGCCTGCCAAGCAGCAGCTCTGCAAGACAAGAATTGTCATCAAGAATCTTACACCATATACACAAGATGACCAGACCAGTAGAACAGACAGTTCCTGTGTCCAAAAATCACAACTGCTGGAATGCGTTAATTTGCACCAATACTAAAAGACAATACACTGGATTACTTGTGCGAGGCATGCTAGGCAGCATGGGGAAAAGCCCAAAATGTTTGCAGCTCATTAGAATTTGGAAAACTGAACTGAAAGTTGCTGATAGCAGTCAGTGTTGAAACCTAGTGCACAGTGAATACCACTGGTAAAAGGAGTTCTCACCTCTACTATTTCCACAATAGTACAGACACCTCAGCTATTACACTCGTAGGTCATGTGGTGAATAAAAGTAAAGTTTCTGCTGTTAGAATACACATTATTGTATCTATAGCAATAACTCCTGCAGTATACAATTTCAGTCACTAGATGGCAGTGTTTGTAAATTGTTATATCTATGGTAGATTATCTGTTGTATTGAATAAAGCTGTGGCTTCCTTTCCGTTTTAGTCAAGCCATGAGAAGCATGCATATTACACTGTGTGCTTGTGTTACTCTGAGGATGTGCAAGAAGTTCAAACATCTGCCCATAAACCAAGCTCTTGGCAATGGCATCCTCTTCACTCATCTCAAGTTAGTCATCTGTCTGTTAGCCATGTATAGCTCTAACTTTTGGTAGTACATAATTGCAGAATGCAGATAAACATTTTAGAACAGTTAACAGTTATGAAGGGGTAGATGAAAACATCAGGGAAGAAGATCGGAATGAGACATCATTTAAGGCAAGTGCTGACATTAACATGGGGGGGGGGGGGGGTTAATGTCACTTTAACTGGAGTCTGGCTGCCATGGCTATTGCACTTAACAGACGCATTAACATAATATATCGGGGTAGAAATGCAAATACAGTAACATAATATATCGGGGTAGAAATGCAAATACAGTCATGGGTCACTTGAAACCAGTTAATAGCCCATCATCTGTCTGACTTCACACCTCACAGGTGTCTTAGTGGACAGGGTGAGGTCAGATATTTGACTAGCAACCATGTTTATGTAGCCTTTGCATCCATCACAGCAGCAACTCAGAACATACTAAAAGTGTTACACAAGGAACCATAAACTAAATACAGGGGCATCCTTATCAAGCCTATCCAGTATGAAAAAAGATTCAGATTCCAGCTGAAAGGACTTCTTTAGGATCACTTCTTACAGGTAGCAGCGGTGCACTTAAAGCTGAATTTAACCCACCAATTAAAAGGAGAACTATGAGGCGAGTGCTTTTCACTCACCTCATAGTTCTAGCCGACCTGTGACAATGAGACTGTCACAGGTCGGCTTAGTAGATCGGGAGGTGAGCGAACACATACCGGCATTCGCTCACCTCTCGATCCTGTCACGGCTCTCTGCCGTGACAGGGGAGGGGCTGGATTCCCCCCTCCCTGCTCGGCCAGCGCTGACTGGCGGAACGGACGGTCGAGGGGGTGGGTACAGCTGGCTCTGTCTCTAGATAGGCAGAGCCAGCTGTCACGCAGCTGGGCGGATCCAGACATAATTGTCATGATCCGCTTCTGCGTCTCAGTATACCGCGACCAGCAGCTCGCGGTATACTGCGGGGTCTCAGTATACCGAGCCTAGGGTGACGGGAGGACGCTAGTTTGTGTCCTTCCATTACCCTAAGGAGAACTATGGGGAAAAGCCTTAAACCCATAGTTCTCCTTTAA